GGGCAGGAAACTGCATCAGAAGCAGAGCTGGGACCTGGTCTCAGGCCCTCCGAGGGGCCCCTGCTCCCCAAGCAGTGTCCTAATAGCTATCAAATGACTGACCCGAAGTAATTTTTTAAAAATAAGAGACACCTCGGAGGGTCTCGGGGGGAACAAGCGTGGCTCAGGAGCCACAGAGGGAGCATGGGCCTGTGCCCGGTTGTAGAAATTCTTGTGGGGGGAGGGGTGGGAATGTTCAACTGACACAACATGTGTGAGAGTGCCGGGCACGTGGCATCCACTGGAGAGATGACATCCTGGGATCCAGGAGAGGTGGGGTGCTGGGCTGTGCTGGGCTGGCCCTCTGGAGGTGTCTAAAGTCACAGGTGTCTCCAGGGCAGGCGCCTTGCTCTTCCTTGCAGGTCTGTGTCTCCAGCTAGACTGCACTCCCCTGGGCAGAGGGACGGTGGCCACTCCTGTGAACAGTCCTTCCCTCCCAGTGGCCGGGGTGGCTGGAGACAGGAGGATCTTGGGACTTCCTGGAGCTGCTTTGGATCCTTGGGGACATCTTGCAGGAAGGGTGGGCTGGGGGCTTCTTGGGCAGCCCCTTGCTTTTCTGGCTAGATGCAGGCTCTGTGTCTGGTTCCAGGCTTGGCTTCATCTCCAGGACCCAGAAGCCTCTGGGAGGAGGCAGGTGGGAGGCGGGTCAGGGGCATCTCGTCTCGCTAATTGGGCCTGTGACCTTCGCTCGGCTGTTTGGACTCCTGGCCGTTTGGGGAGTGGGTCCTGGCGGCCTGCCAGGGGGTAGGGCTGAGACAGCCCAGGGCCCAACTGGCATCTTGCAGCCCTGTTCCTTGGGGCTGAGGGGTAGGTAGGGCAAGGCAGGGGCTGGCAGCTTCAGATCCACATGCTGAGCACACCTGGCACTCAGGCTGATCTTCACACATCCGTGGCTCCTTGGCACTCCTACCCCACCTCTGGGGTGCCAGGCTAGAAGTGGCATCTCACTTTCACTGAACCCATTGTTCATTCAAGCACCCAGAAAATACCTCTGAGCAGAGGCCTGGGCTAGGTTGTGGCTGGGGAGTGGGAGAATCTGTGTGTGTGTGTGTGTGTGTGTGTGTGTGTGTGTGTGTGTGTGTGTGTGTGGTGGGTCATAGGGCCCTTGCCCAGGAGCATGCAGGTGCACATGGGAGATGCAAGCTGTAAAACCACGAGTTTTAGGGCCAGCCACACAGTGTCCTGGAAGCCCAGGTACCATGGGGGGTGTGCAGGTAGAAGAGGAGTGGGCTTGGGGGCCAGGAGTAGGCTACAGGCCCTGCCCACTGAGGATGTGTTGGAGCCCCCCGTGGGCAATTTCCTAAGCCAGGCTCCTTGGGTGTTAGTGCCTCATGCTGCAAAGTGGGCAGGCTGGGCTAGGTCTTGCCCACACCCTGGGCTACCACCCATGTCACCGATCACTCTGACCCCAGCTGGAAGCAATGGGATGGTCATCAACGTGCCTAGCCCTGACCTTGAGGAGGGTGGAATCCTTCTGACAGGCAAGAGCCCCACGCCATGTTTCTCCAGGACAGAGAGCCAAAAGGGGTCGGCAGAGCTAGGCTGCAGGCAGCTTCTCGTTGCAGTCCCACCTTGCAGGGGCTTGAGCCAGCGTTAAGTGGAACAATTTCCAGACTCTGCAGTCCCTGAGCTGTGGGGAGACACTAACAGCAAAGCCCACGAGCGGCCTCTGCCCTCAGCTACATGTCCCCAAGCCCCACTGCCCCAGGCTCTAGGGAGGAGCTAGTGGTGTGGCTTTTATGCAAACTGCCTTATGTATGGTCTCAGATGATGGACCATATAACTTCCTATAGTTTCTTTGGTGTCTCTTTTAATGAATGAGAACTGGGAGCTGTTCTAAAGAGTCAACACGAGGGGCATGGCCAGGTGGACCCTGGACACACACACAGTGGGGTCCTGTACGGTCACCGACAGTCGGGACAGCACATGCTCCCTGGATGAGGCCAGGTCCTGGGAGGTCGTGGCAAAGCTGGGGCAAACAGAGCAGAGTGGTGGTCACAGACACGGCGGGTGCGGCTGTATGACAGAAGTGTCGGAGTGTTGGCCAGAACAAGCTTGTCATTCCCCACGGGAGAGCAGCGCCTGCCTGGATCTCGCTGCAGGGAGGAGTGGGGACACAGGAACTGGATGTGGACCATAGCTGCCCGGGATGGTGGACAGTCCAGGCCCTCGCAAGAGCGGGGCCGCGCCCTGGGTCTTGCTCACAGGAGATGAGGTATATGGTGGAGGAGCTGGGCTAGGGTCCCTCTGAGATTTGTCACCACTGCCTACACGCCCCTGGACCACCCAGAAGGTGGTCCTTCACTGCTCCCTCTGGGCTGCAGAGACAAGCTGTGGTGGGTGGGGGTGGCAGCTACTCTGTCCTGGCCTCAGGGTGCACTCCGTCGGCGATGGGTCCGAGCATGGTGCCACCTTTCCCAGCTGGCTGCTGGCTTTTTCTGGGCACAGGTTGGACGGGGTGAACCCTGGACTCTAGCAGTGTGGCTCGGTTTACTTCCTGCTGCCCAGCCTGTGACCCACAGCCCCTCCCTGATGAACCTGAGCGCCTCCCCTGCCCTGGGTGACCACAGGTGTGGCCAGTGCTGCCCCGGAGACGGAGCCTGAGTGTGAATCCACCCACGTGTGCCAGCCGGAACACAGGGTGTGTCTTCTCCCAGGTGTAGCAGATGACCAAAAAATGTCATGTTGGGAAGAACAAGAGAAAAAAAACGTCCGTGGGGTTTTTACTTAATGAGTGGACGGAGACGTGGACGCACAGGAGAGCGAGGGCCAGAGAGAAGAGACGAGATTTTGTGATGGGCTTGTTGGAGAGCTGTGGGCCCAGGCCGTCAAGCCTCTTCAAGGGGCCCCATTTGCTGGTTGCAAGGTCATGCCCGACCGGAAGTGAGAGCTGGGGCCCGGTTCTTCCTTCTCCACTGGAAAGTTCCCGCCTTTCTGCCGCGGCCTGTGTCTCCGAGTTCCAGATGCATGTCGATAGTCTCAGAGGAGATACACATCAGTGATTCCAGAAATTCCACGCCAGATGAAAGGGCCAGGCACCGAGGCAGCACGCCCACCCCAGGCCCCCGCCGCCCTGGCTCCGCCCGCTGGGGGCTTCCGTCTCTGGCAGGTTGGTGGAGCTGTGCCCGTCCCCCGCCCCCCATCCCCAAACCCCCAAACAGTATTTTTATGAGGAGTCTGTTTTATTAAAATATTTTCCGCTGGATGCTTCCTGTGTTTTAAGAAGTTGGTCTTGCCAGCTGGAGCTGATGATAGTCGAGACAAAGCACATCTGAGTGTTGCTGGGAGGCTGCGCTGGGGCGTGGGGGTGACGCGGCCAGCCCAGGAGACAGGCCTGTGGGCTGTGCCACAAGCGGCCCTGGCCTTGTGGGGGCAGCAGACCCTCCACTCAGACAACAGGGAACAATCACATGCTGGAATGAAACTAAGGCAGGATTCGCCATCCAAAGAGACTCAGAGCAATTGCCGCCGCAGTTCAGGCAAGAAAGAGGAAAACGGGCTTTTCCCGTACCGGTTGTTCAGCAGGCATCTCCCGACAGTGGGTCATCCTGCCTGGGAAACCCGGCGACGGGGCTGGGGTGGGGGTGGCAAGGGTGGGGTATCCAGCCTAGGGTGGCGTCTGGGTGATCTGGGCAGCGCACAGGTCTTGGGGAGGGGTCTGAAGTGCCACAGCTGCAGCCCCGTGACCCTGCAGCCCAGTCCAGTCTACCTTGGAAGGAATGACTTGAGAGACAGGTCTATTCCCCTTCAGAGCAGAAAAGTTGGGATCCCAGGAACACTGCTGCCTTCTCACCACAAGGGGGCAGTCCGCATCCATGCCAGGCAAGGCCTGGGAAAAAGCCCTCACCTGTCCCAGCACCCCCTGGGCAGAGCTCAAACCTACACCCAACTTGAAGAGTGCCCTCTCCCAAACTCCTCACACACTCACGCACATCCCTGGCAAAGCTCGAGCGCTGTGGGGAAGGCTCCTCCCTCCCATGAAAAGCCTCCAGCAGGACCCCCGAGGAGGGTGGAGAATCCTGGGGAAGCCCTGGCGTCCGGCGCCCGTGTGGTCTGCCAGAATTGTATCTTCCTTTCTAGCTGTAAGCTGCTTTCTGAACCCTGTGAGACCGGCGGGAAGCAGGGCTGATACGGGGGCTTTCCCTTTGCACCCAAAGGCCTCCAGGTCCCTTTGTGGCACCCCCCCCCACCCCCATACACACATACCGCCTTAAACCCGGCGGCCTGAGGGGGCCAGATTAAGGGAAGTGGTGCTGTTTTCCCCAGACAGCTGTGGACCCAGGTGTTGGCTGTGTATGGTCTGGCTTTACGTGTCAGGTAGCTCAGCCTCTGGACATGGCTGATACACCTGCCTTGCACGCTCAGCCGCTCAGCAAGTGACTTGAGCTGTGTCTGTGCCAGGTGCTGGGTGTAGTCCCTGAGAGGCCCGGGTGGGGTGGGCCCAGGTCAGGACAGACTTGTGTATCAGAGGGCTTCCAGAAAGCTCGTGGAGAACATCAGCGATGACCAGCGAGGCACGGTTCTTCCAGCACCAACATCAACCCAACACTGCCTTCAGTGTATTCAAGCACTCGTATAAAAGCTGAGCTACAAACACCGTGAGAGCCACTGGGCCCCTTATTCAGCAGCTGGCGTCCCTGGCCAGCCTCCTGACCCCCTCATCTACACACTGCATAGCGGTGTTAGAAGCCTGAGCCTGTCTGGGTGCCCCCGGGGCCCGTCCGGACACCACAAGCCCAGCCCAGCTTTCCAACCTGTGGGACCGCTCACCAGTATAACAATCAGAACGAAGGAGTGAAGGGGCGGAAGACGATGCCCCAAGGGCAAGCCCCTCTCTCCAAGCCACCTCTTTGCAAAACACCTGCTTGCACCCACACCCCCTCTCCCACCCCAATACTCTTGCTCCTGAGCCCCAAAGGGGTCCCTGCAACCAGAAGCCAGGGCAGCGGCTGGCTACTCACTGTTCAGGGCTGGACACTGATGTCCTTCGGCCGTCTGCTGGGATATTGCTCTTCGGTCTCCTGACCACGTGTGGCCGAGGTGGGCGCACCTAGGATGGAGGATGCCCAAGAGGTGGTGAGTGTGGGAGAAAGGCCAGGCAGGAATCTTCTGGAAGATCTGGGTGTGTGCCCCCCAATGAAATGCTTAGGGACCTTCCAGGTGCCGACTGCTAAGGCCCCGCCTGCCGCACACATGTGAACACACAGGCAGTTAATTCACAGCACGGGGGGGTGTTAATTGGGACGATGTGGCTCACTCATGTCAGGGCGGTTCTCGTGGAGAGTGAGTGTGCGTCTCTGTGTTGCCAGCCTCCTCAAATGGCTGTGGGGTGGGTGTGGTGAGGGATCGCCCACATGGGACCCTGAAGGAAGAGACCCATGGAAGTGGCAGATCCTGCCTGGCCTTCCTGGGGCTCCCAGCAGCCACATGCTTAGAACCCAGGGCCTTTGAGGGGACCCGCTTTCCTGTGCTGCCTCCTCTGCTGCCTTTATGGCTGAATTTCAGGAAGCTTATTGTCTTCTTTAGATGACAGGGAGAAAAGCAAATAGTATCAGTAGGATTGCTAATCTATACATTTTATGTTTGCTTTCTGGCATCCCTGGGCCACTTTTTGTACATGTTATGTGGCTTTGGTCACAGGTGCAGGTGAGCTGGGAGGTAGGCAGTGACGAGGTGGGTCCTTCAGACTTACTGCATCTAAAAGCCAAGCTGTGGGCCCCCGCAGAGCCTACGCTGGCCGCTGGGCTCAGATGTGCTCAGGGGACATCGGCCCTTCTTAGACTGTGCTGCAATCACGTGGCTTTAAACTTGGCACAGTCATTGCCAGAGAGGGACAGATGAGGTGGGAGCTGGGCTGTGGGCGCTGATCTGTGAGTTCCGTCGTCAATAAGTGTGAGGTGGCATCCTGGCATTGGGGGCTCAATGTCCCGGACAGGCAGGGCCGGGCAGGGCACATGACCACCTGAGCTGTTTCCCATGGGTTCTTTCCCTGAAGGTGAAGGCTGGGTAACACAGGTCCTGCACAGTGCTGGCACCAAAGGGGGAGGTTCTTCTCAGAGTCTCTCTGAAACCTAGGTTTGCACACGTCTGTTCTACCCCAGGTGCTTCCTGTGGACTGGCCAGTCCCATCTCAGCCTTGTCTTGAAAGGCAAGTCGCACTGCCATACCTGCCTATTTTCTGTGTGTTTCCTGGGAAGGTGAGGCATGGGTTGTGGTACCCAGCAGGGGCTCAACTCATGTCCATCCTGCTTCACATCAGTCAACAACAGGGGCATCTCAGCAGTGCCCAGGGCTGCTTGTATCCTTCCCAGCACCTGCCCTGTTCCTGGGATACTGCAGTGGCTCAACACAGGTTAGAGACAAGGGCAGGTGGCTGTGTGCCACCTAAGAGGTGCATGATGCTGCTGTCAGAACCTGGGGGCTGGCATGTCCTGAACGCATGAGTGGCTCTGCCCGCTTCCCCCTCCCTGTCCAACCCTGAGCCGGTTCCCTTAGCCACAGTGATGTCTACTGGATCCCTGGATTGTAGCAATGGTTCCCCAGGCCGCTGCCCACAAAGGCAGGAGTGCAGCTGGGGGGCTGGGGAGGCCCTGGGGCAGGCGCTTTCAGACAGGGTCAGACATTAAGGCCTGTCAGCTGGGCCTTGCACAGGGCTTCTCCCTGCTCCAATAAAGGGCGGGTTAAGAATGTGAACTTGCGGGCTGAAATGGGGGGATTAAGTTTGTGGCAACTTCAACTGAACTTGCAACGTGGTGAAACATGGGGAAAAAGAACAACAGAGCTAATTAGACGAGCTGAGCTGTCAGAGCGCCGGTGAATGGCTCGGCGCCAACACACAAAAGGAAGGGGTTGGCAATCAGCGGGATCGATGGAGGAGACTGCTTCATTAGGGATGATAAATCAGACAGCACAGGGAGGGGGAGGGGCGGGGAGCGCAGTGGTGCTGGTGGTGGTGGGGAGCGAGGCCAAGGCATCACCGACCCGGGCAGTCCCCCCCTGCACGCACGGCTGCAGGCACACCCAGAGCCGCCCGCACCTGACGGCGGTGGACAAAGTCAGACACAAAACTCGGCTTCCAGATGACCACCCGGATACAAGGAATACGAGGAGGCCTCTGGGCTTGGGCTACACTTAAGAACCATGCACACGAGGTGAGGGCATGGGTTTGCATTTCTCTCTCTCCCTCCTCTCCCTCTCTCTCTCTCTCTCTCTCTCACACACACACACACACACACACACACACACGCACCCATGGCAGCAAGCCACAAGCAGACACACATACACACACACACACACACTTTAATTAAGCCTGAATCACAAGATGAGGCAGACGTCTCCTGTCATATTTCAGCAATCACGTCCATGTTTCTGGGGTGCTCAGACAGGATGGGGGTGGGGAGGCCGCCAGCCACACCCCAGTGTTGGCCTCCCACCCAGGGTGGTGCTGGTTGAGGAGGACAGGGGAGAAAATGCTGAGCAGAGATTTCCAGCTCCGTTCTCGGGGGTCTGGCAGGGAGGGTTGGGAAGGCAGCCAATTCCCCACTGGATTTAAAACCTGAGAAATCCAAGTCGGCAGGGTTAAATGTGTATTGAATACAAAACCACCGAGTCCATTTGATTTTAATGGTGAGCAAGAAATAATAAATATGGAGCTTAGAAAGCGGCTCGCGGGCGGGCCGACCGCAGCTCCTCTAGGGCGAGCCCCGGTCCCCAAGACGGCGGCAGCGTTTGCTTCTGCTCTTCCCTCTCCCTTCTCTATCAAAAGGAAGCCCAAGTCCTGTGGCCAGTCACGTGGGGACTGCTGAACCCATTTCACAGGTGGTGACATAAAGCAGGGCAGGCCTCTTCGAGCCGCCTGTCACACGCCCAGGGAGCGTAGCCTGGAGCATCATGCCAGTCACCTCCAGCACCAGCTAGGGGCATGGGTGGCCTTTCCATCTGAGAATGTCTGTCCTACCCCCAAGTCCTCAACTGTCTGAGGATGTGGCCAATAACCCCCTGCACCCCCATGCCAGCTGCCATCTCCCCAAAACCTGAGACGCACAGAGTCTACTGTTGCTGACTCCAATTCTTCAGCTTTTCTAAGAGGAGTCATTCTGCCCTGAATTGTGCATCCCAGGAGAGCCCCTCTCCACCCTGGAGCCCAGCACTCCGCAGGGAATCCCGGCAGCTGCCCACTGCTGGCTGTCACGCGATGGGAAGACCGGTGGGAATGGGAGGAGTTGCAGAGGGGCAGGTAGCCCTGCATAGGGCAGCCCAGGTCTCAGTGCCTCTGGGGCCCGGGCCACAAGCTACAGAAAAGTCATCCACTTCTTCTGGATTCTTGTTGGGGGATGAGTGGGACAGACGTAATCCAAGAGCCCAGCTCAATCCTAGGCACAAAGACACAGAGCTGCCAGCTGCTGGCTCACTTCCCAGATGCCTGCAACAGGCAGGACTTGGTCAGGCTGAAGCTGGGAGCTGAACCCAGGTTTCCGGTATGGGTGGTGGGAACTGAGTCACTTGAGCCATCAGCTCCTGGGGTCTGCAGTGACAAGCTGGAACACAGAACCAGGTGTCCTGATGTGGGAGGCTAGGGTCGTACAAGGGAGGTGACTGCCTGTTCTGCACACAAGGCACGTTCTTGTCCCTGCTTTGTCCCTGGTGGGTTCAGATACTGCTGTGGACACTCCCGGGAGCCCAGCTTGCTGCTGCTGCACCCATTTCTGCTTCCATGCAGACAGAAGGTCCAGGCAGCTGGGATCTGAGATGACAGGGCCACCAGGACTCTGTTTCCAGTTGAGGACTGGGTTAGATTAGTGGGCCTCAGTTTTCTCTGGGTTCCACACCTGCCCAGAGAATTGTGACTCATGGGTGCTGATGGTAGGCACCCTGGGTTCAAAACAGGCATGCCATTCAGTCTGGCCCTCATGGCCTGGGGAGGTGGACCTGGGCACGTGTACAGCCCAGGGTGGTGCAAGCTGGGCACCTTTCTGTGGGGGCTGTCCACTGCAGATGACCCCTTTGGCTCAGCCATAGAGTGGTGGCTGCTCGTGTTGGTCACTGACCAACACCAAATGGTCCTGGCAAGTGTACCTGCTTAGGTGATGATGGCTGATGCATGACACGGGGCCAAGCCCTCCCCGTGACTCTGCTTTTTAATATGTATGACATGACTCCCCCCTCTGCTCTTGGGCATGGGTACCATGTGGGGCACCTGTCTCCATCTGAGCCAGCCCTGTATTTTTGGGGTGCAGCCTCCGTCCTCAGGAGGGACAATGCCAGTGGTGTTTCCAGGCAAGGATGTGGCAGGAGTGAGATCCAGAGAGGCAGACCCGGTTGGAGCAGGGCTCTTAAAGTTCACTGGCTGGAAACATGCCCCTTCTCTCACGTTGCACACACCGCACATCTACCCAGCCCGTGCACCCCCAGCAACCCACAGCTCTGCCCTTCCAGGTGCTGGACTTCACAAGAAAAGGGGGACAGAAGCTCGGGGAATGCATGTTCAGGTTCATGCCGCGCAGAGTGAAGCGGAGGGAAAAAAAAAAAAAACACCAACTCCCAGTTGTCTTTTGCCAGGCAGGAGAGTCCGCACTCTCGGAGTTTAGTGAGGCTAGGGTAAAAGAGGGGCTCAGGCAGTGTTAGGAGGGGACGACACGGCCATTGGCTACTCACAGGCCTCCAGCGCTTGATCCTGGGAGGCGGCGGTCGAGTAGGGTGGAGTCTTTGTAGCTGCATTAAAGTGGAAACTGCAAACATCAGTGCGTGCCGAGTGAGCCTGAAGCATTTCCACACATGGACCCGGGGCCAGAGCGCCTACAGCTACTGGAGCCAGTGCCATGGGGCCTTGCCTGCCGCCTCCCCGGCCCTGCTCTCCTCTCCTCTGCCATTCCCCACACAGGACAAGGGGATCATCTGAAACACTGTGGGACTGTGCCACATCCATTTTCAAGCCCTCGGCACCTCCTCTTGTTCAACCTCTAAGGAGTCCACTCTGGGTAAACCCCCCACAGTGGCCCCAAAGTCCCACGCCTTGTCTCCTGCCTGCCCCTTGGGGTACAAGGTCCCAGC